GATTTATTTTTAGGAAAAATTATGTTTGGTGTTTGGTATGTGGTATGGCAAATCCAACGACGTTCACCTGTAACAAAAAGAAAACTCTATTAATTATCTCCATTTTTAATAACCATTATAAATTATTGACGAGCAAAGAAACAACAAATAATAAAAAATATCAAATGACCAACGAACTATTCTCTCAAGATTCAATCATGTTATCGAATCATAGAAAATAATTCATTAAGTCTGTAGTTGCCCTCTTGAGCCACAATTAAGCCTCTTCGGCTTTTAGCCCCTTCTTTCTTCAAGCCTACTGTCGGACATTCCCTACGTGAGAGTACGAAAAGAATCTTTGACCAAAAAYGTCAATCGTTCCAAAAAGTATTCGCATAATTTGGCATATTACAACGATTAATGATATAGAATTAAAATCGTCCCTGATTATAAATGGAAAATAACCAAACCGACCCTAAAACAACCCTGAAAAAAAACAATGTGATTAGTAAAACATCCTGAGCTTTTTAGATAGAAAATAATTATTACCTTTTGGTCGAGAGATATCTCATCGCCGAAAGGAATATTATCAACTATATAAAATATCGATTCTATTCTAATACCATACCGTTATAATATGCAAAATTATGGTCGTACAATTTAGGAACAACTTAAAGACATTTTCACCCAATTACTCTCAATTGCTTATAACACTAATATAAATGAAATACATTTCACATTAAAATATATACATATGAAATAATTCCATTTATTTTCTTTCATAAATCTTTTAGAAATAATTCCGATGTTCGCTCGTTAATTGTGACTCTATTTATTAATTATAACAAAATTCAATCGCGTTTTCCGTTAGCTATCCTAGCTCATGGACAATCAACGAACTTAAAAGTTCATCGACTGTGCACATATTACACGAGCACATTTAATTGAATATCCGAGCAGTTAATTATGCTAATCGATGACCTATTAATACTTCGCACTTTTACTATTGAGAGTAATTAATCAAATTGAAATAAAAATAATACTAAAAATGCAATGCATTTCTTTGCAATATTTTTATTTAATTTATTCTTTATATTGAATTATATGAAACATTTCTCAAAGACTAAATCGCAATAGTGCGAAGTGCGAGTTATAATACTTAAAACTAAGTATCAATTCATCAAAGGTTTTGCGGATTTGATTTCGACTCTATCTCGTTCGAGATAGAATCGAAATAGAAATGAATTTCTTAAATAGTTGCAAATATTTTTCAATCATGATACATAATACATATTACAAAATTGTCACAAAAAAGATTGACAAGAGAGAGCGAGAGAGAGAGAGAGAGAGAGAGAGAGAGAGAGAGAGTCCACAAGCAAGATAAAATAAAAAGATATAATTTTGTGACAATTCCGCATAAAACCCGGAGGTGGGGACTCGCACTGAAAAGTGCAAGTATACCACGTGCCATWCCGGGGTCCTACCTACTTATAATTAAAGTTTCACATTTCCTCAAAAAAATATACATACATAACCCTACAATCACTCCCCGGTTCTTACACATACCACCATGGTGCAAAAGCCTAAACTAGAGAGTATGCCCCGGGGCACCTCCGACACCTCAGTTTAAACACGTTTTCTAAATTTATGAGAGTACGTACCAATTGCTGTAATCGTCTGTCAAGGCTAGTGATTATTGCATAAATGACTACAGCAAAAATACAAGTATAAACTAGTATACATGCATACTAGTGTTATACAAGTATGTTATAGTTTCCACAAATAAATGCAGTAACTCTGCTATGCAAAACGATTGTTAAAAAAAAAAAGTTCGTACCGTACGCGTGATTCTACAAGTTATTTTTATTCAATAACTTTAAAAAATAATAAGCGCGGTATTACGTATCGCGAAACGACGTACAATGCACACACCTAAACGCACACACGTGTGCAATGTACACCGTGCAATCACTAGCACAATGACAGACTCCAAATGGGGGTAAAAACTTATAACTAAATCTATACTAACCGTTTCTCACCCATACGTGTAACACCTAGGCACACGCATAAATGAGAACGCAGAAAGTATAGGGGGAAAAACGGGGATTAGTAAATTAGATGTTGAAAATCCTAATCTAAGATTTGATTAATATATAAAAATGTGTTCTCTCATAAATCTAAGCGGGCTATGACTCTACAAGTAATTTATAATGACTTTCAACAAGATTTTAAGAATTTAAAAAAATTAACAAAAATATCGGACGACTCTTTCGTTAAATGGCTGTTCTAATTAAAGAACTGGGTTTTGAGCAACCACTTAACAGCCAAAGTCTATCCGTCGCGAATATGTTTGTCTTCTTGCTCATTTTTTTATTATATCGAAAAATAAAATCGCGATTAAATAAACTAAGTACGAAGCAATGCATGTAAGACATTTATTACATGCTTTATTGGACGAAATCAAGTAAATTAATACTCGACTTCACCACTACTAAACGCGAACGAAACACGTAATAGAAAAAAAGTGCATTAATTAATTGCACTGTTAATTAATAATCCTTTTTTGGAATTACACATGTGCTCGTCAATAATTTTTTTGGAATAATTACAACCAGTAGCTCGTGCCGATTGGGACCTTTCATCCTCGGCATGATTGAGTACCGGAGAGACTTTAAATTTTAACTCACGACCTGGTAACTGTTATATTACATATATGTGACATTTTAAAATAAAATGACGTATGTACGCAATATGAACAATTAGCATTAGAAGTTCTGCGATGGCTCCAAAACACTCCTACTTCGTAGCAAATGGTCCAGCTACATCCCTCGTCCACCAGACCCATCGGAGAATTCCTCGATGCACTTTACCACACACTTCCGTGACTCTAATAACGCGGTAAACGAATATAAGAAACTATAAAWGAGTTTCTTATCGCGAAACCGAAATTTTTCTTATACGGCGAACAACACTGACTCTACATACGCGTATGATTTAAATTTAATTTACGCCCGCTCACTGACTCTACTTCGCGATGAAAAATTTTTCTTTTATTATTCGTACAAACACTGACTTTGCAACTACTTCAAAGACTGCATTGCACGCAATCAATGCAAACGAAAATTTCGCTCCCGATACGCGGTCACTTTTAACACTTCACTGATGCACTTCACTGATGCACTTCACTGACTCTACTTCGCGAACAGTCTGTACGACTGTTTTAAAATTAAGAAACTATAACTTTATATACGAACAAACTCTAACTGCAATTAACTGCATTGCTCGCAGTTAATTTAACATGTAATTTTCAAAAATAACGCGAACACGTACGCGAGACGCGAAATGCGACCGAATTTATTATTAACGAGCGAACGTGCTTCTAATCCGTGATTTTGAATTATATTTATAAACAATCAAACACTCCCGTACATTACTTCGCGCACGAATTGAAATGATGATCTGAAAAAGAAAGAGAAAAGGAACAATTAATAATCATTGTCGTAATAAAAGAATCTTTGAAACTTTTGTAGAAATATTGAATACAAAATTATACTTACTTCGAATCTTCATTGATGAATGCCCGATGGGTCTCCTACCCTTAGGATGACGATGCCGTAGACGGTTCCAACTAAAACGAGAAACTTACAAATTTCTTATCGCGACCACAGCGGCACTGACTCTACTTTTTACAACTGCATTGCACACAGTTAAAATATCAAACACTAACACATGCTTACCCTTCTGAAAAGAGAGAATAGAAAAAGACGATTAGAATCATTGTTATTGTTTAAAAATTACAAGTAATTATTAAAGAAATGTTTAATATAAAAATTAATTTACCTTTTATCTTCAGTGATGAATGCCTGATGGGTCTCCTACCCTTAGGATGACGATGGCACACGTATAAACCGAATAAAAGAAACTTTCGGAGTTTCTTTACCCGAAAAAACGARAYWTTTCCATACGGCGARCAACACTGACTCTAATTTCCGATTTTTCTTTAACGATGCAAACACTCGAGTACCTCATTGCCTACGCGCACGATTGCAATGATGTTCTGAAACAGAGAAAGAAAAAGAAAAATAACGATTAATATCATCGTAGTAATATAAAAAACACATTGAAATTATCATAAAAATGTTTGATAGAAAATTATACTTACTTGTAGTCTTCAGTGATGAATGCCCGATGGGTCTCCTACTTTTAGGATGACGATGAGTAGTAGACGGTAACAAAAATACAAAACTATAATAAAGTTTTTTATCGTGACCGAGACGTGCTTTACCGGTCGCACTGCACGTCAAAAACGACTGAAATAATGCATATAATTAGTATTCCTATAAAATAAATCGAGTATTATAAGGTGGAATATAATATGAAGGTAGTATTCAAGGGAAAACAATGAAATGGATTGTAATATGATATTAATTAGGAGAATGAAAGAAACTAATTATAATTATAATTTTTATGGTAAGCGATCTTTAGCTGGTTTTTACTTGCAATGGAATGTATAGCATATAAAATATGATAAACATTACACTGAAAGTAAAATACCATTGCCCGGGTCTAACCACGAGAAGGTAACTGCTTCCGAAGACCCACGAGGGATGTGCATCCTGAAGATGTCCACATTCAAATAAAATTGAAAAGATATAAAATAATCTAATCGAGAACGTCTTTTAAAGAATATCACTCTTAGTCCTCGCCCTAAAAATTTCATCTATTTGCGACTAACACTCTTCGACGTTTACATGTCAAAGTCTAACGGAAAATTAATTAAAAAACAATATAAGTTATCGGTAAATTTTATGTTAATGTATTGGCTAAGTAACGAAATTAAGTTTAAAAAAGTCATTTAAAGAAACATAAAATAAAAATATATTAAAATTTTTTTCTATTTATAGTACGTTAATAAGTATGTAATATTTAAACCAGTACATATGTGTTAAAACAAGCTGAAATGTAAAAAGATTGCGTTAGAGTATTGAAATAATTGTTAAATAATCGATAGAAGTGTCTATTGTTGTCTAAAATCTCGGTGTATAGCATCTAAAATCAAGTTTTAAAAAGTCATCTAAGGACATAAATGAAAAAAATATAAACATTATTTTCTATTTAAAATATGTTAATAGATAATGTAATATTTCAATTAATATATACGCGTGTTAAAACAAACTGCAATATAAAAGAGTGTATTAGAGAATTATAATAATTGTTAAATAATCGATAGAAGTGTCTGTTGTTGTCTAAAAGCTCGGTGTATAGGATCTATGTACCGTCCTCTTCGAAGTTTCCTGTTAGACTGAGTCATTGCCCTCTAGAAATTCGCTTTTATTGAAAGTTGTTTATATGACTTTCCGAATGTTACGCATGTGTATAAAAGGAATAATCCACCTAATCAATAAAATTTAAGATTATAACGTTCTGATTTTAGTATTTTTATCACTTTTATGTAATTATTTTAATGCTCCTGCACAGTGGTGACTTCGTGGGTAAAATTTAACCGTAATATAAGAAAAGTGCATTAGTGCATTAAAATAATAGTTAATTAATCGATGCTAGTGTCTATGCAATTTTTATACAATTGTTTAAATAAAACTACACTATGAAGATTATATCTTTATAGTTTATATCTTTATATCTTTATAGATTAATTACGACGATATCTTTGTTAAGAATTACGACGTTTAAAGTAACATAAAACATGACGAGTATCAATTATTAATTTACACGATTATATGATAGATACTTACGATTTTATCCTATTTCATTATACCTTATTAAACCTTTTAATAAACAATATTAAATATTAAATAAATCAATTTAAAAAAAAAATATACATAATATAAATCTTACAACAATTTCTTTTATATGAAAAATTAATTAAACAATTGAAAAAATTCAATACTGCGAATAAAGAAAAAAGTATTTGCTGTTCATAAGGAAAGTATTCGTTTGATTTGCGATAAACTTGAAACACAAATATTTTCGGAAATCTCTATTTGTATCGATTGATAAACAGAGAATATGACTACGCTCGAAATCGTATGAGCGAGTAAAAGAATGAATGAAATAGAGTATGAAAAGGTAAAGAGAATCAATATGTCGGTCTTGTGAGACAAAGAGAAACCAAATTAAAAGCTCTCTCTCTCTTTCTCTCTCTTCGTGTTTTCTCTACAGAGTAAGAATTCCAATTAAAGTGGCCCTAGCATACACACACATACACACATACACATATTTTCTCTCTTTATACGTATAATCCAATTGTTAAACGATGGTAGAAACTAGCTTTGGAAATCGCTAAATCAGAGGATCGAATAAATTCTTCAAATAATCTGCCGCATCTGGTGAATATTTTTGGAAAGCTTTTATACGATCGAATAAAGCTAACGCGCGTTCTATCAAACTTTTTCGACAAGTGAATTTTTCCCAAAATTTGTTCCCGTTATATTCAACTTCGTATCTCTTATTTTCCTCAATTTTGCTTAGAGGAAAATTATTTCGAGTATTTGATCATTCTTCTTAGTTTTGCCTTATCGAGAAAATATCTTATCGAATGATGTTAGAATTCAACGAACCGATACGATGTCTTCTAGATCAACCTATTTGGAGGATCAAAGGGTAAAGTAGAAGTTTTCTCTCTCTCTCTCTCTCTCTCTCTCTCTTTGCAAGAGTTTTAAGGACGATGTGCTTCAATTTCGTTTGCTTTCCAATCTCGAAAAGGAAGAAGCAGCAGGAAGAACTTCTTAACCGAAAATTTCTTGTAAAACTAGTAAAGCGGAAACTGATGGTTTGCTATGACGTTCTCTACCTATCCTTGTGTTCCTTTCCTTCATGTTTTTTCTATCTCTCTCTTTCTCTCTTTCTTTCTTTTAAAGAAGCATGCCATTTAATGGAAGGAAGATATAAAATTCAGGAATAAGAGGAAAAGGATTGAGCGGGTAGAAGAGTAAAGGAAGGGGAAGGGAGTTTCCTTCTGGTGATTACGAAGCATAGACCAGGAAAAAGATGAGAGCTAGTTTCTACCTTTTTTTTTTTGTTTTTTTTCTTCTTCTTTTTTTTTCTTCTTATCTTTTCCTCTTCTTTTCTCCAATCGATTTGCTCAAAAGACCAACCGGAGACGTCTCTTCGCTTGCCACTAAAATATTTCGATTTGCGGTTGCGCCTCACTCGAGAAAACTAACTAAAGGTTCAAAGGATATCCTTAGTCCAGTAGCTGAAGGAGAAAGGCAAAGCGTGGAAGCTTTTTCCTTTTTCCTCGTTACTATCAAC